TCTTGTTCGGATTATTCGTTTTTTAATTATCTACATTTTAGCCCTTTACCAAAATGGGCTTTTTAAAAGAACCTGCTCTGTTCTTGGGTTTGGTTATGTCCTAGATTGCACGTTAAAGATGGATTGATTAGACATATCCATATAATTCAAAAATAAAAATTCAAATGTGACTTAATTGATAATCGCTGGAGAAACTGACTAATGTCATTAAGTGTGAAGGAGTACTGGCCAGCATGTAGTCCAGTACTCATGCCACATGTATTTTCAAGATATGAGCTTTTCTGAATTTCTAATTAAAAGTTTTCATCAACTTTATTGGTGGGAATTATAGAAAACTAAAGGGGTCTGAATCTCTAGATCCTTGCTCTCTTATTTTAAAAAAGGAAACACATATATATGTGTGTATGTGTGTGTGTGTGTGTGTGTGTGTGTGTGTGTGTATCTGGGCTTTATCTGAAACAGGTCCCTTTTTGAGATGACTTGCCTCAGCTTGGTAGTTCTTATGTTCCTTCTAGGTAGCTTATATTTCAAAGACAAGTGAATTGAGTTTCCTTTAAAAGTACAAGTTCAGATCTGAGTCCATTATTCCTCTCTATACCAGACTGTTTTTTTAAATTTGACTCTTAGTATCTGAGTCCTTCTTCACTTAACTGGAATGCCCATCTTATTCTCTGTAGTTTGAATATAATGTTGAAGGAGTAACTACCAAGGAAATGGCTACCCAACTTGCCTTCATGCGCCTGCTGGCCAACCATGCCTCTCAAAACATCACCTACCATTGCAAGAACAGCATTGCATACATGGATGAGGAGACTGGCAACCTGAAAAAGGCTGTCATTCTGCAAGGATCCAATGATGTTGAACTTGTTGCTGAGGGCAACAGCAGATTCACTTACACTGTTCTTGTAGATGGCTGCTCTGTAAGTAATAGTGAAGTATGGGAATAACATTTATTTGGGAAGTGGGATAGTGGAGCATAGACCATTAAACGAACAGATGAATGAGAGACCAAACTTATTTGATTTCTCTTTCATAAATGTATTTGTTTAAATTCAGATGGTAAATTCAGAATATTCTTATCAGATCTTGCCTTCTGAAATTTTCTGAAATACTGAAATATATACTCTGTTCCATGTATTAGTTGTCTTCTAACATGAGTTTCTTAAATGATGATGTATACCCATAACTTAAAATTACTTGAGATTAAAAGGGCCCAAACTGTAATTTATAGTTATATGTATTTTATTTTATTAGTATGACCTATATTTAATTTTTCTTTATGCCTTCTCTATAATATACTATAAATTGAAGAAAATTTAAATTCACTAATAGTAGTACTGCATAGCCACCCTACCACACACATCCTGAAAAGATAATGTAGAAATAAGCCACTTGGAATATGCATTGGAACGTTTTTTTTTAATAAAATTAGACTGGTAGGAAACCTCTCCCTGTAAAGATAGCCCTGATGCTACTGTTTCAAAGATACACTTGTTGATCTGAGACACACATCTTCAGAAGGACATAAGCCAAAAAGTGGTTATTATAATATCTAGTATATAATATTATATAACATATAATTATATATAAATATTATCTAATATATTATATAATTATATATAAATATATGTTCTGTATAATTATATATTATATAATACAATTGTATGCAATATATAATTATATAATATTATACAAGATGGTTAGGTTCCATAATAGTGCTGCTTTATGTATATTTTTCTTCTCTTTTTAAACAGAAAAAGATAAATGAATGGAGAAAGACAATCATTGAATATAAAACAAATAAGCCATCTCGCCTGCCCATCCTTGATATTGCACCTTTGGACATCGGTGGCGCTGACCAAGAAATCAGATTGAACATTGGCCCAGTCTGTTTCAAATAAATGAACTCAACCTAAATTAAAGAAAAAGGAAATCTGAAAAATTTCTCTCTTGGCCATTTCTTTTTCTTCTTTCTTAACTGAAAGCTGAATCCTTCCATTTCTTCTGCACATCTACTTGCTTAAATTGTGGGCAAAAGAGAAGAAGAAGGATTGATCAGAGCATTGTGCAATACGATTTAATTAATTCCCTTTCCCTTTCCCCCTCTCCAAAAATCTGGAATTTTTTTTTCAACAGTCTTAAACTTGTGGAAAATGTCAACCTTTGTAAGAAAACCAAAATAAAAATTGAAAAATAAAAACCATGAACATTTGCACCACTTGTGGCTTTTGAATATCTTCCACAGAGGGAAGTTTAAAACCCAAACTTCCAAAGGTGTAAACTACCTCAAAACACTTTCCTGTGAGTGTGATCCACACCATTAGGTGCTGACCTAGACAGAGTTGAGCTGAGGTATCTGTTTTTTGTTCAAAATACAAAGGTGCTAACTAATAGTATTTCAGATACTTGAAGAATGTTGATGGTGCTAGGAGAATTTGAGAAGAAATACTCCTCTGTGTTGAGTTATATTGTGTATTTTTTTTCATTTGATTTAACATCAGTACTTTACATCTTATTCCCGAATAAAAGTAAGTGGATCGTTTGCCCAACATTGTCCTCTTCTTTAAATTCAGCATTTGTTCTTTGCCAGTCTCATTTTCATCCTCTCCCATGGTTCCAAAGAAGCCTTGTTTCTCGGACAAGCAGAAAAATTAAATTGTACCTATTTTGTATATGTGAGATGTTTAAATAAATTGTGCAAAAAATGAAATAAAGCATGTTTGGTTTTCCAAAGAAAATATTGAGTAGAATTCCTTGCTTCAATGCTCTTTGCAGTATAAATATGGATTATAGCGTCTCTAACCAGCCATTAGACCGAGTATTTCTCATTAGATAGGAACTATGCAAAAAGGGCAGTTTGGTATGGTAGAAAGAGCAGAGAACAAGGACCCTGGAGATCTGAGCTCCAATTCTGGCTCAGCTCCTTCTGGCTAAATGACCTTGAGTGCTTTACCTTCCTGAGTTTCAGTTTATCTATAACATGGGGAAGATTCCTTCTCTGAACTGTTAAAACATTTGCCCTACTCAAAATACATAATACCTAAGCAACATGGCAATTGTTGACCTAAGTTTATTCTAAGTAGAGGTCCATAGAACTTTTTGGTTTATTATCCATTAAGCACTTTGAAACAGTGGTTGAAAGTTGGTCTATGCACAATTAATACTATTAACTAAAACAGTTTCAAATATTCAGTAAAAATGCCATACACTTAAATCTGATGCAACTGAGTACAATGCCTGTTAAGAGGTAATGTGTGTGCTGTCAATCAGCACAGACAGTTGTGGATAATAGTACCATGAACACCTACCTGTCAAATCAAGTTCCTTTTCCCCCCCTGCACCTTTCAATGACATCTTTAATACACTTAAACATAGTAATGTGTCAAGTATAATCTTAAGATTCATTTAGAGCTTATTTCCTGTTGCAGAACATAATTGTGATTGTAATATTTGCCTCCTGTGATAAGTCATCTCGAGATTCAATTAGTTTTTAAAGCAAAAGACTGAACATGATAAAAATCTAAAATTAACTCTAAAAAAGTTAGCAAGGTCTGCTAACCAAATGGTAACTTCAAATTGTGGTCCTTCCACCACCTAAATCAGAGCACTAGAATGCTTATTAAAATGCAGATTCCCAATCCTCAACCACCAAATTAAGATTTAGTAAGGAATCAGTATTCTTTTAACCACCTTGAAAAATTCTGACATGCACCAATTGGGAAACCACTGGATAAGGTGATTTCAACAATCCTTTGTAGTTTTAACATTTTATGTCTGGCAAGAATGAATCAATATACCTAACCAAGCAACACAAAACTGAACCTCTGGGATCAGAGTACTAGTACTCCCCACAAATTACTAATTGAAACAACCAAGACAAACTTACATAATAACCAGTTAGAAATCTCTGGATAAAGCATATGCTATGCCCTCAGGCTCGCAGTACAAGAACAAACCATAAAGTTGATAAAGTTGGTATAAGGAAGGGAGAAAGAGAAGGAAGAAAACCAACATTTATTGAGTACCAACTACGAGCCAAAACTATGCTACATGTTAGTAATGACTTTTGTCAAACTGTATCCAAATAGGCAGATTTCCTAAGCAAGCAGTCACTTAATAATCATTTAATCATCCTTATGAGATAGTATAGGAAAATAGTTAAATAATGATATATCTGATAGATAACAATAAGGAAATAAATGATAGAATATCTAATAAATACTAATGAGGAAAAAATAATGATATATCTAACAGATAATAATAGGAAAATAGTGAAATAAATTTTTGTATCTCAATAACATTTACGAGGATAATTAAACAAAAGAAAAAATGTAATAGAATGTTACAATCTTTAAAATATAATATTCAAGCACACTGTCATTAAAAATATTTTAAATGCAATGTAAAAATACTGAGTAGGTACATTTATGTAGTAATGATAGAAATGATTTTTATGTCTAAATTATCCAAATCTGCTATAATGTAGTTATATTACTTTTATCATTTACAACAAATTTACTCTTAAAATATCATGAAAAGAAATAAGCAGTCACAAGTGAAAACAAACCTGGTTGAGGAGTGACCAACTCCAGGGGAAGGGTGGTCACCCTCCTGCCCACCCACTTTCTGAAAGAGAAGGAAAATCCTAACCTAAGAGTCATCATTCACCATGTCCCAGCCACTCTGGGGGACACTGGGGAGGGGTGTACAAAGCCATACCAGGCAGCAGCATCCTCAGGGATCTCACAGCTCAATTGCAGAGAGAGAATAAAATAATGCCTGAACACAATTTTAAATGAAGTGTCCTCTGAGGATAGCAGAGGACACTATTAATTAAGGAGATGGAATCCCAGGAAATTGACCTTAGCCTCATGCAGTAACAGTGATATTTGGATTGAGCTGGCCAGCTCTTGCCAGAGATCTCATATCACCTTCTAGCCTTCTGTCTGGCTAAATGTTTCTTTTCCAGAAGCCACATATTAGAACAGTCTGGTGCTTACCAAGACAGGAGGTCCACTGTTAGTGTTTCCAGGGCCTGGGCAATGTCCTGAAGGCTTGGCCTCTGAACGGCAGGTCCCCTCTTCAGAGGCTAATCACCAGACTCAAGGGAACCTCCTCACAACATCTCCCGACCCTTGGTCATGTGAAGGTCAGCTGTCTCTAACTTGTGTTACTGTGAGAGGGAAGAAGATTGCACATGAGAGAGTTGAAGGAGCTAGGTAGCCAAGATGAGGGGAAGAGATATTAATGAAGTCTGGTAAAAAGGGTCATTTAAAATTCTAAAGTCAATACAGCTAATGTACTGGCAAAGAGCAAAGACACCTGAGCAATGCTGAACACATTTATTATGTTTAATGCCAAAAGACTTTTTTATGCTATTCCACTTAATATCACTGAAAAGGAAGTTCAGAAATTGGATTATATGTAAGAAAAGTTGGAAATGTCATTTTGGGTCAGAACAACAATCCATCTAGATAAGTACTTTGCCTTTGACAGTGGCACCAGGGGAAATTTGGGAGAAACAGTGGTTGGCACTTCCCATGAAGCCAGCCTCAAAACTCCCATTTAATAACCCATTGTAAATCTTTTTTGTACATAGATGTATCTAAACCCTTCCAGAGCCCTCTATCTCTTTTGAAATATGTTGGTATTACAGTACCAACAGGAGAGAGCTAATGCTCAATTGTTAGCTCAGCTTCCTGGTCCTCTGATCAAGGAGCTAAATATGTTTTCTATCCCTGTGCCTGGATCAGCCAGGGATTCAACAACTCAGTGGCCTGGGGGGAGCACCAGTAACTGCAACAATGGGGCCATAGACAGCCCATAATGATTGACTTATCCCTGCAGTTCAATGAAATGAGCATATAATTTGTGGTAGGCAGCCAAGGTTATGCGCACCAGCTCCACCACCGACTAGCCACGGGCCCTTGGGAAAGTCTCTTAAGTTTTCTGAGAATTTGGTTAACATACCTGCTCTCAAGAGATTTCCATCAGCATACCTACTGTGCCTATCTCACAGAACCACTGGGAGGACTAAGTGGGGCATATGTGAAAGTGCTTAATGAAGTGTAGGCAAATGTTACCTGTCATCATTAGGTCTAAAACTTCCAGTCACTTGTAATCTCCTCTTGATTTAAGTTCCTATCCCTGGCCCTCCAGTTTAGGGAGAGGAGAGACTAGAATTTAAATTTAATTAGCACCATTCTCGAACTGGTAGTCTATCAATTTTGAGTTGTGCCTCCCTATCAGTAAAAATGTGAGCTCTTACAACTAATTTTGTTAATCTATTTATATGTAAATGTTATATGTGTACTGTTGCACTAATGTATTATGTGCAATATAAAACCTACATGGAAAAAAATGTTAAAAGACAGAAAATAAATACAAATAGAAAATTCCACACTCCATTGGATCATTTGGCACACACCTTGGCATGTATCACCTACCCACCCCCATTTCAGAGACTATTGCTCTAAACAGGACTCATGGTGGGCTCCAGGAACGAACAGGACATCAGTGAACTCCTGAAATAGAGTGCTAAGTTTTGTGTGTGTGTGCATATTTATTGGAAAAGGGTCCACAACTTTCTTCAGCTAAGCCAAGGGGTACATGACCAAAAAAGATGTTATAAACCAATAACCAAAAGAAGTACTACTCACTTCATTAAACCTGGACTTTTCTGAACTAGACTTTCATATCTCATCTTGGGTCTCATACTCAACACGCTGCTTCTCCTATCCTAAGACCCAAGAGAATGAACCAACAATGGCCCAAATTAAAATAGAGGTTTGTCATTCATTCTTTCACTTCGCTGCTATAGACCTCTATCCTATGCTTTAACAAGTCTTCGCACATGCTTTATGACCCAGCCTTATACTCTGCAACATCAAAATGCACCTGTCCACAGAACTTCTTCAAATGAGAACAAAGTCAATAATGGAGATCAATTAATGAGTTATTCCTTTTAGGTAAAATATGCAAATGTAAGTTATATATTTTTTTTTGAAAAAAAGAAGTTTTAACCTAAAAGGGATTAAAAATCTGGGCACTATTAGAGGTTGTAAGGACAGTAATAGGAACATGTTTTTCAGGGACCCTCAAATCACCTCTTAGAACCAAAATGTCTCCTCTTCATCTGGCTGGTCCCAAGCAGAGCTATTATTCTGAGTCCAAGGTGTAAGAGTAATCTTGGCCAGAATTAGCAATCCTAATGGATGCTAGAAAGGTATCTTTAAAACTACAATTCACTACATATTTAAAGATGTACTTTATTATTACTAATCATAAACACTAAATGTACTTTTCTGCTAAAGTAAATATTTTTCTGCTGCAGCATTGCTGTTGGTGTCCACTGAATAATTAACCATAAACAGCATGGAAAAAAAACAGAAAAGATTTTTTTTTTTCATGGAATCTATTAATGCCAGGCGGGATAAGAACACTTACTCACAAACCACTGTGCTGAGTGGATGGCCTTTCTCTCCCTACTGGATGTCACTTCAAGTTCACTGCTCCCCCTGCTGACTGGATAATAGAACACCCCAGTCTTTTAACACTGCCACATGCACAACATCAGAGAATGAAAACTCGGATTTAGGAGGAGAAAATAGAACAGTTTCCTGTGCTTACTTCCTGTCTGCCCCAGACACACAGCCTTCTCTCCAGATGGTGGAGAGATACTGTCCATAGTGGTCTACCTTATGTCCTCAATGCTCCCTTTTTTTAACTTACCCTCTCTAATCCATCCTTAATATCTCTCTCATAGAGCTAATAAATGGAAGTCCCAAGGAGAAAAACATAAAGCTCAAAAGGAGAATGGCCTTTTGGGTGAGCAGTGCTGCCCAATGCTGCAAATGTTGCCCCCAAATACCATGAGTAATCCTTCAGGATTTAAGCAAGAGGTTTTAAGGATTATATGGAACAGAGAGAAGAGGATGTGCCAGAAAGAACAGGAGCTTAGTAAGCCGAGCTATCTGGATTTAAATCCTGTCTCCACCATTTCATCATCCATAAAATGGTGATAACGATGGCACTACCCATCGGACTGTTAGGATCGGAAGCAGGAATGCATAGCAGCTTGTGAGGTTGGTGTAGAGAAAGTACCCAGCACCACTGTTATCATTATCCCTACAAGGCTGGATCTTCGTGAAAGCTCCCCCCCTTTTTTTTTGAGTTTTATTTTATTTATATTTTTATACAGCAGGTTCTTATTAGTTATCCATTTTATACATATTAGTGTATAAATGTCAATCCCAATCTCCCAATTCAACATACCACCACCAGCCCCCACCACTTTCCCCCCTTGGTGTCCATACGTTTGTTCTCTACATCTGTGTCTCAGTTTCTGCCCTGCAAACTGGTTCATCTGTACCATTCTCCTAGGTTCCACATATATGCGTTAATATATGATATTTGTTTTTCTCTTTCTGACTTACTTCACTCTTTATGACAGTCTCTAAATCCATGCACATCTCTACAAATGACCCAATTTCGCTCCTTTTTATGGCTGAGTAATATTCCACTGTATATGTGTACCACATCTTCTTTATCCATTCGTCTGTCAATGGACATTGATGGGTGGCATTGGGTTCCCTCCCTGTTGGTTGCTTGGCCTGAGGCGACCCAACACTGGAACCTACCTGGGCTCTTTGGTGGGGCTAATGGTGAGCTCCGGGAGGGCTCACGCCAAGGAGTACTTCCCAGAACTTCTGCTGCCAGTGTCCTTGTCCTCACAGTGAGACACTGCCAGCCCCCGCCTCTGCAGGAGACTCTCCAACACTAGGAGGTAGGTCTGGTTCAGACTCCTATGGGGTCACTGCTCCTTCCCCTGGGTCCTGATGCGCACACTGCTTTGTGTGTGCCCTCCAAGAGTGGAGTCTCTGTTTCCCCCAGTCCTGTCGAAGTCCTGCAATCAAATCCTGTTAGCCTTCAACGTCTGATTCTCTAGGAATTCCTCCCCCCATTTCCAGACCCCCAGGTTGGTAAGCCTGACGTGGGGCTCAGAACCTTCACTCCAGCGGGTGGACTTCTGTGGCATAAGTGTTCTCCAGTTTGTGATCACCCACCCAGCATTTATGGGATTTGATTTGATTGTGGTTGCACCCCTCCTACCATCTCACTGTGGCTTCTCCTTTGTCTTTGGATGTGGGGTATCTTTTTTGGTGAGTTCCAGTGTCTTCCTGTGGATAATTGTTCAGCAGTTTGTTGTGATTCTGGTGTTCTCACAAGAGGGAGTGAATGCACCTCCTTCTACTCCACCATCTTGAACCAAATCCTTCCCTGAAAACCTTTAACTACATTGCTAAGAAAAGTAATCACCTTTCTACAGGTACTATCTTCTCTGACAGCAGTGGCCTAAAACGGCAACACGTCTACAATTCAACTACTACACTTCAATTTTTTCTACCACAAATAGATTCTAGCAAACTTCCAAACCCTCACAACTTTTGGTGAATACTTCTCCACAATCCAATTTTTTTAAAGTACTTTTATTAAAAGCTTGAAAATCTTTTCAATTTTTTACAAAATAATAATAATTTCACTCTGACAGTTAAAAAAATAAAAGAAGTAAAATCTCTGACAAATAGAACAAACTTGCATTTAATTGGTCTCTGTCCTATGCCATTAGGTTCTTCCAATTTTTGAGAGAAAGTTTCTGAGCATAGAAATGGCCCTTTTGCTCACTCGGAAGCCAGCTTTTCTACACAAATTGGCTATAACTCATACATGTTGAATTATCCAAACTTCTGACACTTAATTTTCACAATTTGATTTTCTAAAACTTTGTCTCTGGCAGTGGAAATCCTAACTCAAGAGTTATCAGCACAAGAGATGATCGTAATTATTAAATTCATGTCCTCAGGGAAATTTCTTGGCCTATATAAATTTACTCAAGGGCTTTAAACATCATTAAATCACCTATTATTGCCAGTGCTTTGAATGTCTATATGAGTAATATTATAAGTGGATCCACTTCAAGGAAATATAAAAGAAGCTTTGATTATAGTTATTTCCAACATGGTTTTTCTATCACTGATTATAAGCCTCCTTTCCTTTATAATACAGAAGTCTAAAATAATTTCAAAAACTTTATCAATGTAACTAAATTAAAGTTTCCATCTACTACTTTGCTCATCATGATATGTTCCTAATCAAAAAATGTAAAAAGACCTTCAGATAACATCTAGAAAATTGCCCATTTAACCATTTTTCTGGATTATTCACAACAGATATTTGCTTTTACTTATTGCTGGGCATGCTATTAAAATATAGTGAACTTATGGTCAATTTGAAGTGCCATATGTTTTCTTAGATTTTCTTCAACTAAAATATTACAATAAACACTCACCTTGCCATCATAAATTATAAAAAAGAGCTGTGCTTTTCTTCTCTCAAGCTTGGGAAGGCTATCTATCAAACAGAGTACAAAGTCCACTAAATCCTTTGAACCTTTGAAGAGAGAAAGACAAATCAATGCCAAAAATGATGTGCCTTCTCACCAATACACAAATTAAACTGTGTATTTTATAAGATTTATAGGGTAACTGAGCTCTTTTTATTATCATTTCTGCTAGGTATCTGTCAAGTGAGTCTAATTCAGTAAAATAAATTGATACGTTGGGAGAAATCTCTAGTCTCCATTCTAGGTTGGGGAAAAAAACATGCAGACAGTTTAGTCACCCTATACCACTTGTATTATGATTTAATTGGTCTGAAATATTGTTTTAAAACTCCCTTGGTGATTGTAATATGCAGCCAGTCATGAGAAAAATTGTACTAGACTAAAGCCACAGTAAAATCACTGGTAAAGTTGGAAGTATGTGAATATGTGCCTTTTTCTAGGAAGAAAGTGTGCAATACTTCTCAAAGTTCTTCCAGACCACACATAATATCTACCTAATCAGAATTGCCGGGGGTGGAGCCAAGGCATCTGGTATTTTCAATGAGTAGTGAGGTGATTCTCATGTACTCCCAAAGTTTGGGCACCATTGGTTTATTGCTGTCATCATATTATTGACATATTCTTGGATGATTCTGTGCCCCTTTCCCCAAAAACTATTAGGACCACAGCTCTAAAATCATGGGCTCTCTAAGCTGCTTTAAATGAGGACATGTAATGGCTCATTGAACACATGAGCAGTTAATTTGGGAACAGTTGCAGCATTATAAATGTGCTTACTTATTGCAAACCCAATTAATCCAGTCAGGAGGAGTGTTAATTACAAAGGAGTTTGGAAATTAGCGTGAGTGCTTGACTAAATGCCTATATTTTGACCTATTATATTGTCTGTCTGGTAATTTATTTAAAAAATAATTCTGGGGGCTTCCCTGGTGGCGCAGTGGTTGAGAGTCCGCCTGCTGATGCAGGGGACACGGGTTCGTGCCCTGGTCCGGGAAGATCCCACATGCCGCGGAGCGACTGGGCCCGTGAGCCATGGCCGCTGAGCCTGCGCGTCCGGAGCCTGTGCTCCGCACCGGGAGAGGCCACAACAGTGAGAGGCCCGCATACTGCAAAAAAAATAATAATAATAATTCCATAGGAGGTCTCATGTATATATGTGCATATATCTCACATTCCAGGACTGATTTTGTAATCTTGGAAATACCCTAATTATGAAAATCCACAGCTTTAGAGGTGGCTACTCTGGTATTTCAAATAGCATTATTGAAATCTACACCAGAGGATATGTTAATTATCATAAAGGACGTTAAAAATAAATTTTCATTGTTGACAAAATGGTCTTGAAGCTATTTTGACTAGCTAATAAACATTTAATATTAACAAAATTTGGGCTAAGCCTTACTCTGCTTATAACATAACACTTAATAGCAAGATTGTCAAGAAAAGACAAATAGTCCAATCTATATTCAACCACCAGAGGCTACCTATATTTACCCCAAACTCTTGAATCACTAAACTGGCTTAGATCAGTTCACATAATGACTCCCCCCCAAAACTGAGAAATGGCACAAGATGGCCAAGAAAACGACACATAAAGCAAAACTGTATTTAATTGATTAAAAAAATAGAATAATGCACAAAACAACAACTGTATTTCTCTAGGAGCAGTGGAATATCAATCAAAACAAATCCAGATATAGCAGAAAGCAATTGGAAGGCTTCCAAAGCTGCCAAGAAACTCTCTCCTAATTTGGGAACAGCCAAGATTTACTAGGTCTGTGTGCTTTTATGGCCCCTCCCCCTTGGACATAATTTAAAAGATAGAGGCAGAGGCTTAGCCAAGGTGGGCCATTCCACTCCTCTCCTCTGAGAACTTAAAACTTGGAGTGGAGAATGACAGAGACTGACAGCCACTGAAGTTGAGGCATGCTAATGACAATACTCTAGAGACAACTATGTACTTCTGCTGATGAGGTCCCAGAACTGTACTAGTGTGGGGTTGTTCTTTGAATTATGAAATAATCCAGTATCCTTCCACAAACTTTCTTTTTTGCTTAAGTTAGAGAAAATTGGTTTCTGTTATGTAAAACAAACAAACAAAAAAACCAGTTTTGATTAATACACCTAGTAAAAAGAATACGGTAAAAATGGGGGAATATGGGACAATCTTACTTATTCTAAGTAGATACTTAGAGTTAATAGAAATAAGAATCAAACATTTGAATGGTTTTAGAAAGTATCCAGAGAAAGAACACTGTTGGAATACAATTCTCTAAGGGTTTATGGTGTTTCTGCAGAATGTCTTGCAAAAGCACTGACTATCTTTGTTTTGGACTATCTTTTCAAGGATGCTTATATAGTGATAGTGAACAGCCTTAGAAGACAGAGGTAGTGTCTCCCTCCAGAGTGGAGGGCAAGTTACTATCCAGTATAATAAAGGTGTTTTCCTACAGGGCAAATGTCAGGCAGGTTTGCTTAAAAGATTTGGGTTCCCTATGCTTGGTGTTCCTCAGTTGTGACACATTCATCAAGTTGCCCTGCATGCCCCCATGGGACTTGGGGTCAAGAGGACCAGAAGTAAACATAAAAATCATGTTGCTTGCCTTGCCATGAGTAATAAAGTCCTTTGTCTGTGACCCAGAAGTCACACATCTTCTGCCAGCATCTATTAAACCGTGGCAGGCTCACATTGTAGCCTTAAAGGAGAGAAAATTTCAGACCCTTCACAATTCTTGACAAACATTTCAAAGAAGAATTCATATCATAATGAAGGTGCATCAGTTCTGTATTCCCGTATTTCAAGTTGCCTAGCAACTAGTTGGTCACCATTGATCTGACAATCTGCAGTAATGAAAGACCATGCTATGTAGAAAAGTGTGATTGAACTACAGGCTTCTAGATGACAGAGACTGTCTGATTCATCTCTGTATCTCCTTTACTACCTAGCCCAATACCTAATATAGACTGCATGCTCAATGATTTTATGTAGAACAAATTATTAAATGAAAGAATTATTGACTATTAAAATAACTCTGCTGGGCTATGTATAGAGCTGTAGTAAATAAGATAGTTTTAAATCTGTAAAATAGGTACTTTTCCTCAGAATCATTCTGTTTCTTCAGGTTCACTTAAATGTAAATAATAGAGGTCCACTCAAGGAAGTTTAAGAGACAGGGTGATGCATAGAGGAATAAGAGCAGTAAAGGTAAACAGCTCTGCTGAAACTGGAGCTGGAAGGTGGCTGTTTAAGGTAGCTTTAGAGATCTCAGGAGCAGGAATTTGTGACTCTTTTCTCTACAGCTCCACCACTAATCTGGCTCATTCATATTCTGCATGTTTGTCCTTTCAGATCTGCTATTAATTGGCAATCTTTTTTTTTTTAAAACTTGCTATTCTAGTTCCCTAGGGAGACATTCCAGTGCAGTTCATATATCCCTTGGCAGCCTATTAACTCGTGACCTTTGAGTAGACATCCCATCAACTATGATCTTTAAAGTCATGTGGTATAACAGGTGACCACCTAGGCACCAGAAGCCATGGGTGGGGTAATTTTTAAAGGGGGTGAGCGCATCAAAGGCCATTCTACTCGAATGTATGTTGCCTATCTATCCTTCTCACCCCCCTTCCTATCACTTCTTTCTCTTGAAAAATATGCATATTATTTCACGTGGTTTGAGTATTATTTTTAATACTAAGTGTTCTTACATATTAGTTTTTATTTAAAAATGCTTACACCAGAAACCTTGTGAGAGAGGGGACAAAGAATGTGAGTTAAAAAATAAATGACTAAAGGTCATTAAACATGCAAAAAGACTGTTCAATTCCTCTAGCAATTAAAGAAATACAAAGTAAAACCTCACCTGGTATATGGCTAGGCTTCTTTTGAAAATAATAATGTTTTAGCCAAAAGATCAGCCTCATATATAGTTGACATGATATATACAGTGATATATATAGTGACATGATATGACTATGACATATATAGTCTCATATATAAATTGGTACAAAATTTCTGGAGAGCAGTTTATTAGTATGTATCAAAAGCCTTAAAAATGTTTACACTTGACAAGTCATTATTCTACATCTAGGAATGTATCCTAGGAAATGAATCCTTGATTTTTCTAAAGATTTTTGGACAAGGAGAGTCCACATGAAGAGTTTCTCATAAAGCTGTGAGACCCTGGTTTTCTTTCTACTGTCCAAGTCAGAGCAACGCACAGCTATCCTTCAATGCAGCTGTTCAGAGCAACCCAAGCTTTGAAGGAGAGCTATGCCAGTCTGAAGGACAAGCACATGAATCACAGAAGTCTTTGAGAAATGCCATGTCCTTCTTCATCTGAAGAATGAAGCCAACAGAAAGAACTGGAACACTGCAGCTCTCAAAAAAGCCACAGCAAATACACTCTTTGAACTGGCTCACGTGACTAAGCGCTAATCCAATCCTCTGAACAGGAGGTGTCATGGCAAGAAGCCTCCACAATACCAAAGACTGTATTTAAAATGTATGTTTTATTGCCCCCTCTTCCATTGGAGGCAATCTCCAATTGACTATTGTAAAGTCACATTCCCCTAGCTTCTATATCTCACCAGCATGAAAGTGTTAAAAATGCCTGAAGGAAAGACACTACAACAGCAGTAGGTACATGTGCAAAAATAATGACTGACCATCACATCATATCTTGGGTGCAACAGTCATCATAGCCTTATTTACAGCAAAACATTGGAAAGTAATCAAATACCTAAAAAATAGTGGATTGGCTAAAGTAGATATGGCACATCCATATAATGGATTGCATTGCAGTTATTTAAAATGTTCTCAAAGAATACTTAATGATATGAGAAAAAATTAATAACCATATACTAAAACAAGTAGATTACAGTGAAGTTGCATCTCATACAGGAGATAGGTTTTAAATCAGCACATGATAAAAAAAATCTCATGTGGTTAAGACTACCCTTGAAAATCTCCAGTTTGGACACCAAATACTATAACTTCAACACAGTTTTTCTTTTTAGTATCAGAATAGATAATTGTTTCTGTGATTGAGCATCAAAGCAGTTGGCTTAAGTTTTGACCACATTGTAGGAAAATGTATATTTTTACCATTAGAATCATAGTCGGTGTAGCAAGATGCACATACTATAAGAGACAGAGAA